CAACCGCTGCGGAATTATTTTGGAAAAACCTATTTTTTGTACCTTTCATCCAAGATGGCGGCTCGAGGGGTCCTCCCCCAAGGTCAAAAACTTGGATTTTTTGTCAAGGCCTAGACCTTAACAACATATTAAAAAATTACTACTACCCTAGCTTTTGTTGGGCAAAACTCCCTACTGACTGGACTATAAGCTCAGTTCAAGGCACTAAATCAATTAAAGACAATAAAAACGACAAGACTATTGCTGACGTTTTACCCGAGGTTATATTTAGTTTCAGAGGCAATTCTCTTCTTGTCTAGTTATAATTTATGACTTTTCCTGTTTTCATAACTGTCAAACATCGTATTAAATAGAACCTATTTAGAGAGATGTGCAAACTTGTTTGAAATAATTAACTGGCGCTGTATAACAACGATGTTAGCAGTCGTATTATGTTAAGTGTTGAAACCTTACAAAACTTGACGGACGTTTGAGGGATTTGCAGACTAGACGTGATATGAAGCAATTTGTTACACAATTAGGTCCTGCCTAAGGCTTTGTCTAAGTGAATGTAGCGATTAATGTGACTGGCAGGGTCACATACGAGTATTTAATACTTTTGCTAAAAGCACTGTTTCTTATCGTCTCTTCTTCACTAAAATTATGACAAGTGAAATAAAAAAAATATATTTGTATAAATTTTATTTAGATCTGTTTAGTACAGTTTTCTTCAGTCTGTTTGCTTCCAGATATTAGCATTATAGTTGTTCCTGAGTTATAGTAATATGAGTAAAACGACACCAACTATGAGAACAGCAGCAAGGGCTGATTTTGGGCGGTTTTGTTGAAGCATTTTCCATAAAACCAAGATAATTAAAACCAGAATTATAAGACGAAGCACCATTTCACAAAAAGTGTAAAAAAACAATGACGTAAATTGTCAAATTGAATTTTTATAATTTTTGCTTAGATACAAATAAATGCACAGCAAATATGATGGTCAATCTGCGAGAGGGATGACGTTTTTGGTTCTTTGTGTTTTTTAATTGATTAAATTTTTGGTAATCATTTTGTATTTCCTAAGAGTTAATTATTTCCAATATAAAAAAAAAACATTTTCTATCTCCGGTAAACTAAAAAAATTAAATACTTTTATTTAAATTGTTTAAATTCAAATACTTAAATTTAAATTATGTCATCACCTTGTTTTTGGCCTCAGGTTGGTTTTATTTTTGTCAGGTTAGTTAAGGATAAACTAAATTTGGTAAAGTTAGATGATACCAAATTAAAATCAGTTTTAATTAACTATTTAAAATCTTCATTTGGCAACAGTGACTTTTGAAATACAAAGTTACACTTTGCTGCTGCGTCCAATTAAATTTTGGCAACATTGAAATACTAATACGAAATGATCCAGAAAGACTGAGTCAGTTGGTAACAGATTTGAAAGGATTTTTGTTAATAATTTGTAACAGTGCAACCGCATACGGTTTTGCTTGACAAATACTTGACGTACAACCCCTCAAGATTGTTGAATTGTTGTTTATCAAAAGCGCATTCCAGTGATAAGCTTTAAAAATTACAGTCAGGATTGCTAACAGATTCATTCATTGTGGATCACTTTGTATAAAACGTGTTAATTGTCAGTACTATTCAATGTTGCCATCTTAATTTCAAAGTCACAGTACTTTGTTTAGAAAACCTGGCGTTTCAGTATTTTAAAATAATATTTGTCGGAATTTTTTTATTTATTCGAACATCTGCTTTCTGTGCTTAAGTCACTTTAAAAATTCAAGTTTATTCTAGTGAAATTTTCTGCTTCATACACTTACTTTTTAAATTGCTACGTTGACGTAAATTTCTTGATACCCAGTACGGAATTTACACAAATATAATCTAGGGAAATTCGGTTTATACACTACTCTCAAAAATTTCCAGTTTTGAGGTCTTTTGGCAAATTGTTTTTTTGTGCTATGGTTATCACGCAATTCTAAGAAATAGCGTGAAAAAAATGTACATTTTCTTGTTTTGTTTTTGATCCACGGATTTGGGGATTTTTTTTTAAGTTAAATCAATGTATGGGCCGGATAGCTTGTTTATTCAGCTTTAATATGCTTTTTTATATTCTTTTTACGTCAGTTTGTCGCTGAGATATCTGACTTTAAATGGAAAAAGATCCTTTTGTCTTTGATCATTTATATCTCAGCAACTAATGACTGCACAGAGAATGTAAGGATAGTTTCAAAAATTAGAATAAAATTCATTTATTTTGTTCTCAATCTTAAAGAGTGCTTTTATGAAATAGTTTTAGTAGATAAAGTAGTCTTTTATCGTCTAGTGAAATAAAATAATTTTATCTTACAGGTTGGTCGTCGGTCAAAATTCTCACTCGCGTATAATGATGCATTTCTATCACTTATAATATAATGTACTATTTATCTACTCTTTATATTTTATCAACTCATTTCAGCAGGTAAAGTAGTCTTTTATCGTCTTGTAAAATAAAGTAATTTTTTATACTGTTTATATTCAAGAAATTCTGGTAGGTGAGTATAAAATAAAACGGAATGTTATACATGACGATAAAGATTGTTTATCTACTCGTGAAAAAAGTCCACTCGTGACTTCGTCACTCGTAAACTTAACCTTTTCACTCGTAGATAAACAATTACTTTGTCGTCTTGTATTATAAATAACTATTTATACGTTTAAAAAAATTTTACCCTCAACATCGATTTAATAATAAAGTAACTTTTTTCGTAATTGTAGTAAATAGTATTCACAAATATTGATGGGGAGACAGACTAATGTTTCCAGGTTTTTTTAAAGCGCAATGTACCCCCATGTAAATTTTTATTTCAAACATTTTCTCGAACAAATTGTTCAAAGCTTATAAAAGAATTAAACGAACAATTGTACATATTGCTTCTTAACATTGTCTAATCTTATCAAAATTAGAAAAACAGGATTTCAAAAGTTTTTTTTATTTGTTTCTTAAAAAAAAGAACTAATGCAGAATTGTACAAAAAGTTAAAAAAAAGATTTCATCATTTTGATGAAGATTAGGAAGAATATGTACAATGTTCCTTTAATTCTTTTGTAAAACTTTGATCAACCGGTCTTGGAAAATGGTTTGAAGAACCGATTTAAAAATTTACAAGGCTATAAGGAGTTCACTAAGCACCTAGAAATATTAGTCTCCCTATCAATATTTGAGTATACACAGTAGATTTACTAAAACAACGCGAAAAGTGACTTTTTCTTTTTTTTTTAATTCAAAAAATCGTGAACAGATCTTGCAAAACAATTATTCCAGTTTTTGACACTACACTTACATTCTCTGTACGGTTGTGTAGTCATTGGTTGCAGAGATATCGATGATCAAAAACAAAAGGGTCCTTTTTTATTTAAGAAGCTATTTGGTTCATACATTGATTTAATTAAAAAAAAATCCCAAATCCGTGGACCAAAAATCGGACTTTCTTTTGATGATAACGTGCTTACTTTTGAAAAATCGGCCTTACTTTTGGCGATTTCAAATGTCAAATTGACAATCGGACTTTATTTTGAGAAAAGCATCCTAATTTTTGAATACATCGGAAAATCAATTGATTTAGACTGTATTATATAAGACGATAAAGAAATTGTTTATCTACGAGTGAAAAGGTTAAGTTTACGAGTGACGAAGTCACGAGTGGACTTTTTTCACGAGTACATTGTACATATACTCTTTAACATTGAGTACACAATAAAAATTTTTGTTCCCTTATTTTTTTGGAGTAGTGTGTAAAAATTATAAATTCAGATTTTACACCAAATTGGTTAAACAGTTTTTATTGTCGAAGAAAATAATGTTGTTATTAAGACAAGAAGAGTTTTAAACTGTAAAACTTGTGTTGACTTCAAAATTTTTTCCAACATGAAACAGAAATTTTACTAAATTCAGAAATAGTTATAAAAAAATTTGACAAAATAATCGCAACATTGACAAAATGCCAAGATAAGAGTATTTTATGTACCTACTTATAAAATATGTTGTGATTGACGACGTATTTTATAGAAGAGCGTATATTAAAGGCAACATAAGAGGTAAGCTTAAATGCACCATGAAAACAGTATAAGATATTAATGTTAGAAAAAATATTTTTTTACATGATTTATTAATGATTTTATGAACATCGTAACAAGAGATTCTTTGTATAATTTTTTTAGTTTTTGAATTATCACACCAAACATTTTGTTATAAATAATATGATTTTTGTTTTTTTTTCATTGTGCGGCTGCAATTTAGGCTTCAATATGTTGTAAACTTTTGATTTACTCCTATTTTACAAAAATACTAACCCAAAGATATTTGTTATGCTGGATTTTACTGAAAATAAACAAAAATTTTTCATATAATATTAGATAAAAAACGCTTTTTTGCAAGTTGTGCCGCTTTTCTGTTCTAAATGTAAACAGTACAGTGTTTGGTGTATTCATTCTGGCAGCGCAATCGCCGTTTTCAAATATTTATAAAACGACTGATCGTTTCGAGTGGTTGACATTTGATGAAAGGATCGCGAGTCAAGTGGTTTCCGGAAACGCTGCAATTGAATTTTTTCCTCTCGTTTTCTTGCGACAATCCCTATTTGTACTTAGTGTTCCGCAATGAGGTTTAGAAACAACTCCATGAGATGAATCTTTGAAATTGTCGGGACAAAAAGCTGTCCTAGTTTTGTGTAACTACCTGTTTGTCACAGTTTCAGTGCAATTGTCACGAACAAATCTGGTTTATCTCATTGTCCAGAATGTAATGGCTAGTTTGCCATTATTCAAAAATCTAATGACGCACTAGTTGGAATTTTGGAATGTTTTTAATAAATTCGGATCGATTTGATGAATAATTCAGTCCGGATACGCATTTAATAACGGAAATGTGCTGTCTTGGTCTTGGTTTGAAAATCTAGACACACACACAAGAAAAACGGTTAACCTACCACGTCCACGACCATCGATAAATGAGAAAATCTTAAGTCTACCTGCATACTGACCATCGTGTAGCGGATCAATGGTGTGGATCATGAGTTGGAGGAGGCCGTGCCGAAATTTGGCTCCTGTGTGATGGTGACTTGTCGAGGACGGCACCTGGGGGGTCTCGGACGCCGTCCGCGATGTGACGCTGCCGCCAGGCTGCGTCCCAACGCTCGTCTCGCTTGACGTCGCCACGGTACCATGCTAAAAAACAAATTCCATCAACAAACTTATTTTTTATACTGTCACCACTGTAAAATCACACAAACCACACTAATATTTACGTCCATCTTAGTCCGGGCAATGAACACATTCAAGCTTACAATAATTCGCATAAAGCTGAAAATTGGTACGAATGTTGGACACCCCATTATAAAAGAAATGGGAAAAGTCCCCGTCGATCCCATGTCTGTAAAAAAAGTTATTCACGGTCAAATGTTGCGAACATGGGATTTTTGCATTTTTCAGCCAAACGGTAAGTTTTATCATACAAAAATCGTAGAGCATGCAATTCTCTATAAAAAATGTTCCTATACTTTTTTTCCTAAGACTAACCTTTTCTGAGATATAGCGATTTAAAAATTTGTGTTCTTCATAATATGCACACGTTTCCACGGCATTTGTGAGGTAGTGTACTTGGCGCGTTTTTTTAACGTGGTTCCCTCGGTAGGCCTATTTCACGATCTATTAGGTTCTGTTTAATTAAGAAATATTGTATCAAATGACAAATGGTGCTATTGGAGATAATAAAAGCGATGTAAATATTGAGTAATATAGAGGAAAATTATTCGTCTGATTGATAGTTATCTGATGGTACTTCAAGTGTACTGTCTTCTTTGTCTTCTTCTTTTCTTCATTCTTCTTCATCTTCCTGCTGGGTACAAGTAAATTGTTCTAACAAGAGGGATAAATCAGATGTCTCCTAGCAGATAAAACAACAGTTTTTAAATTGTTTGAAAAACAAGACTTAGTTAATTGTGCTAAAGTTTTTCAAAATAGTAATTCTACTCTACAAGTTGTAATCATCAACGGAATTCGCTTTTTTCTTTCTGTGTACGGAGTTTCTAAAAAAATTACCTGCTTAGATAAGTTTCGATACTTATCTTTTTCAAAAAATACTCGTAACAAAAAACGAGTGCAATTGGCATGTCCCCCAACCTCTGCTTCTGCTCAGCAACATCTATTTTGGGTATATTATCAAGTTCAAGTGTGGCTTGGTAATAAACTGGACCCAGAAGACTGGGGTTGGAAATTAGTTAATAATACATTGGGACCAATTCAGAATTTACTCCCACCTGAACCGGAAAAACTCCTCAATACAATTTTTTGCAATTGCAAAAAGGGGTGTAATGCCAAATGTGGCTGCAAAAAAGTTGGATTGTTTTGTTCATTAGCATGTACCAGTTGTCAAAGCCAATCATGCTCGAATGTTGAGTCGTTGTTATAGGAGAAGATGCTTACGATATCTGCGATGAGACATCTGAGTCATAGCGCTTAGAACATTTTAGTTGTACCAAGCAAGAAGATGATGACGAAGAAGAAGAAGAAGAAGAAAGAAAAGAAGAAGACGAAAAAGACAGTACACTTGAAATACCATCAGATAACTATCAATAAGACGAATAATTTTCCTCTATATTACTCATAATTTACATCGCTTTTATCATCTCCAATAGTACCATTTGTTATTTGATACAATCTTTTTTAATTAAACAGAACCTAATAGATCATGAAATAGGCCTACCGAGGAAACCACGTTAAAAAACGCGCCAAGTACACTACCTCACAAATGACGTGGAAAGAACACAAATTTTTAAATCGCTATATCTCAGAAATGGTTACTCTTAGGAAAAAAAGTATAGGAACATTTTTTATAGAGAATTGCATGCTCTACAATTTTTCTTTGATGTATTTGTATGATAAAACTTACCGTTTGGCTGAAAAATGCAAAAATTCCATTTTCGCAACTTTTAACCTTGAATAACTTTTTTTGCAGATGTGGGATCGATGGGGACTTTTCACATTTCTTTTATAATGGAGTTCCCAACATTCGTGCCAATTTTCAGCTTTATGCGAATTATTGTAACCTGACCCCTATTTTTTAAGCTAACTTGCCCGGACTATCTGTGTTTTCCGAAATAATATTGGAGAAACAAATTCATAAATTTTGTTTCTTAAATATTTCCATGAAATAAATTCTTCTCTTAAAACCACAGTTGGAAGTCAACTTAGAACAATCTGTCCATTTTGCAACACTATACAGGGTGTCCCAGCGAGTTGAAAAAGTCCATTAGTGTCCTTTTTAAATGGTAAAATTAAAAAAATATATACAGGTGCGCCAGAAGTCGCGCCCCAGAGAAAATTTTCCAGTAAGGTAAGATACCAGGAACATGAAAAAAATGTTTTAAAAATTCTATCTGTCAAAAAAATTTGACATTTATTTTTTGACATTTGACATTTTTTTATATCTATTTAATGATACTCATGATCTTGTATATGTTTTTTTTACAATTATTTAGTAAAGGGACAAAAATTTTGCTAATAAAAGCCACAAATAACATTGTTAACATTTCCAACAGAAATAAATATAGTCAAAGTGCAAACTTTAAACACTCATAACTTCGAAATTTTTCTAGATAAAATTTTTTTAACATTTTTTTCATGTTCCTGGTACCTTACCTTATATGGCATTTTTCTCTGGGGCGCGAGTTCTGGCGCACCTGTATATACAGAGTGTTAGGTCCAAGTCGCCCCAGCCGATAACACCTAAACTTACTTTTCTTTTCCAAAATGAAATTTTCAAATAATACTATTCATTCCTGGCTTTCTAAGTAAATGCATCAACTTTTTTTGGCACACCCGGTGTAGCCGGAAATGCTACCAAATTTGGTTTTTCAAATGGTACACCTGTTTTTTTGCTCGAAACAATAATAATTGGCATAAATACGGTAAACAACTATTTATTACATTTTACTTTACATAATGCACACAGAAAACACTTTAAATTTTAGAATTTTATTAGCAAATTTTGCAACGTAGGCGGATTTTACTTGTCAAGGTATTCATGCAAAAAGCAATATGATTGGATACCGTTTAATTGTTATTTTGACAAAGCCTAATCTTATTGAGATTTTTAATAATGGATGATAATAATTACGACGATTGGTAGATTAGTTTGAAGTGTTTTTTAAGTGCAATCAAAATAGAGGGGAAGCTTAAGGACAGTATAGAGAAAAATACCCAAATAGAGTTCACCCAAATCGTTGGATATTTAGTCGAATTGAAAAACAACTGAGTCAAACAGGTTAGCTTCTTAAAACTAAAAAACCTGTGGTTCTTAGTGAAGAAGAAGAAAATGGAAATCTGAATGTTCTGTTATCAGTCGAAGAAAATCCAAGAGTTTTCATAAGAGAACTCACTCATCAACTGACAAATTAGATTTGTCAAATCAACAATTAAACTGTATCCAAGTATTTTTTTATTTACACCTTTCCTTTAAAATTAAAAATCAGGCTACGCGACCAATTTCCTTATAAAATTCTAAGATTTAAGATGTTTTCTGATTGCACTGTGTTAAGCAAAATGTAATAAATAGTGGTTTACCGTATTTTTATGCCAATTATTATTATTTCGAGGAAAAAAACATAGGTGTTCTATTTGAAAAACTAAATTTGGTAGCATTTCCGGCAACACCGGATGTGTTAAAAAAATTTGATACATTTATTAAGAAAGGCAAGAATTAAGATTATCACTTAAATATTTACTTTTTGAAAAAAAGAAGTAAGTTTAGGTGTTTATCAGCCGGGGCGACTTGGACCGCACACCCTGTATATAGGACATTGATAGATACTAATCTACTAAACTTGTGTTTTTTTTAAATGAAACACCATATGTTTCTTAGCGTTTTTGGATGTAGATTTTATGACAATGTTTTTAAGTTAATCTTTTATTGGTCGATTTTGCTTAGTTTTAAAAATAAGACGGTTTTTTGGCGAAAACATGCACTTTTTAAAAATTTATTACACAAAAACCAAGACATTTAAAAATATTTTTTTTACTACCGCAAGGAAGAAGGTACAGATTAAAATGGTGTAACATTTTTTTAGTGTGTTTTTGCAAAGATAAAAAAATGAAGGCGTTTGTTAAAAGTTCAATCAATAAATTAAAAAAAAAATAATGAAACACCCTATTTATTGTTTTTGTATTTAAGAGATTATTAAAATGTCTTTTTAAAATTAGTTACTTTTACTTTTAACTAAAAAGATATTTAACGTTAAACATTAAAAAAATAATTACTATTGTTTCAGGAGCCAAAAAGTGCACAGTTACACAAGAGATGGAAGAAATGTCACTTAATAATCACATTTGTGTTAAACTGAATCCAATATTCTTTATTTTTACAATAAAATAATTCGAATTTCAGTAAATACTGAAATATAACGACTTTTACAATCTCTGGATAAATCAACACAATGCTCTGATATTGATAGGTATTGTTGCTACAATTAATATTGAATGTTAAATATCTTTTCGTTTATCAATTCTAGACATTAAAAGTTTTTTTTTTTTGATAGACAATTTATCAATCTATTAGATGCAAAAATCAAAAATAGGGTGTTCCATTAAATTTTTTTAAGCTATTTCACTTTTAACAAACTTCTTAATTTATTAGTCTTCGCAAATGCAAAACACTAAAAAATTGCTACAGCTTTATATTCTGTACTTTACTACTTTCTTCTTTTGCAGAAGTAAGAAAAAGTTTGTTCTAGCTGTCTTAGTTTTTGTGTTATAAATTTTTAAAAAGTGCATGTTTTCGTCCAAAAAAAGGGCTTATTTCTAAAACTAAGCGGAATCGACTAATAAAAGTTTAGCGTAAAAACATTGTTTTAAAAGGCTACATCCAAAAATGCCAAGAAACATACGGTGTTTCATTTAAAAAAACACAAGTTTGTATCGTAACTTATTTTTGGGACATAGTTGGAAATAATTTTAGGTGATGCACCAGATAAGTATCTATCAATGTCTCATACAATAGTTTTTCAATTTTTCTATTTAAAGGTCACTAATGGATTTTTTCAACTCGCTGTATATAGACCGACTATATTATGCCAGATGAGTGTGAAATGAATTTTTTTTTAAGAAAAATGTAAGATAATGGCAAACAATTGCGAATATAGTCTGCGAAAATTAGTAGTATAGTATTATTA